ATTGGCTTATCATGTATATTCAGTTTATCAAAGCATTGCCTTAACGAGTTCTGACTGTATGTTTTATTCGTTTTATTTGCTTTTATTCATTTTATTTGCTTTTATTCATTTTATTTGCTTTTATTCGTTTTATTCATTTTGTTCATTTTATTCATTTTGTTCATTTTATTTGTTTTATTCATTTTATTCGTTTTGTTCATTTTATTATTACTTGAATTATTTGTTTTACTCAAATAAACATTTGAATAGAAACCTAACTGCTACTCAAGATATGATATTATTTTAGCACAAAGAGCTTTAGAAATATTTAACCAATAATTTAATTACAAATAAGCTTTTAGACTATATGATAAAAATATTAAGAATATTATAATCAGATTCTGATATTTGCTGATACCCCATTACCCAATTTGGCCAGTAAAGAAAGAACCAATAGATTATATATAAGCAAAGAAAGATGGGACCCTAAATTAGCACAAAAGAATTTTAAATCGCACAAACATAACAGCTTGATAGCTTGATTGACATAGTGGTGCCATCTTGCAAATTTTTTATTGTATATTTTAAATATAATTGATCATATGTTTTTAACAAAACAAACATGACTTACTATTTAATCATTTCCTTTGTTTCCTTGTATGTGAATGCCTCCATCCATCAAATATTCATTGGTCATGATTATTATGCGATACATTTGATATCATAATTGACATAACAAACAATTGCATCATCCAGGTAGTAATGTTACCAAGGCCATGCATGAAATGAAACTCTTAATAATGTGTCAACCCAGATCTCTGGGATTCATGAAATAAATTAATTTTCCTGATTATCAATTATGGTTCCTTATAATAAATCTGATGTTGATCACAGGTGTCAGATTTAATTAAATTTTCCTATCACAAACATGCAAGACAGTGCAATTAAGCACAATTCAGCACCATGGAATTTTTTCCACAGGTGTAGTGGTCCTAAACATGCTGGAAGGCTTTGGACAAAACTTTTCTTATCTTCCCTCAGGCTTGCTGGCTGTTTCCATATGAGCATTGATCATTGATGAGGATCAGCATTTGTGTGCTGATTGCTTTGTATGCCTGAAAATTCAGCAACTTGGGAAATTTCTGTTTTGGATTTTCCCTGAATTCAGAGCTTTGAGGCCTGGGTTGTTGTCTTGTCGGTGGCATGCCTACTCACCAACAATCCTACCCCATTTAAATAACAAGTTCAGTTGATCAAATAAAAATTAAAGAAAAACAGAGCAATTATGAAAATGATTAATTTATAACATACCAAAATCCAAACCATTTTATGACTTTTTCTCATTGGCCATATTGCTGACAAAGATGTATATATCATGTGATAATTTTAACCTACAGGACAAAGGACTGATTGGGCAAAAACCCATCCCAGTCCCCTACCCAAAATCATCAATTGGTTAGCATCAGAAAAACAGAGCATTTATGAAAATGATTATACAAAACAAACACTATTTTACAACTTTCCTCTTAACATCAGAGCCCAAATGCAATTTCAGGGTCACAAACCCTGCTCTGAATTGCGACCTCCTGTGCTTGAAACGAGTTGCAGATTCTAATAATATTCCTCCAGAGTTGCGACTTGGTCATAGAGCCATCCTTACCATAGAGGTAGGATCGTTGCAGGAAACTTTTCATCCAACATGGCAGCAAGCCTTCTCTGGTCTGGGAAGATTAGTGAAAGTATCCTTGACAATTGATGCAGTCTCGGTAAACTCCAGAGCCACGTACCCCCCTGGAATTCTGCAGCATCATTGTATCTCAGGGCAAGCTAGTCAGATTAGCCTTTTGTACATGAGGAAGATGAGAGAGAATGGTTGTAAATGTTCAAGGCAGTGTGCGTGCCTCAATGTCTCTAAAATTTCTGATAATCAAACATTGCATATTCGAAATGTTTCTTCTGTAACAGTCAGTCATGCTGCCTTGACATCTTGTAATTATAATAATATAATAATATTATTAATATTATTGATTACGAAAAGAAAAATGCCAATCATTTGTTATCATTTTGATGAGATTCTTATACCCAGCAAGATCTGCTCCGAATTTTGATTTCAATTAAAATATTTATAAACTAAATATATATATCAATACAAATAAAAAATAGTACCTCTATTATTAACACGTCTTCTTTAGGAGACTCACGTTTTGTCATATTTGGACTCTGTAAAAAATAAATTGTGAAAAAAAAATCAATTCGCGTCAACAAAAAAAACCTGTGCAACACCAAGTGCCAATAATAAATAATTAATGACGCGTTTGTTGATCAAATCAATAATTATTTTTTATTGCTTTAAAATGTCTTCAGGAAACAATAAAAGAAGAAAAGAAACCGGTCGTGATAAATATTTTGGGTAAGTGTTTATCATAAGGATGGTGGTGGTAGTTATTGCCTGCCACTCTAATTTATCATGAGAATGGTGGTGGTTATCACCACTCGTTGTCACTCTAGTTAGAATATCATAATACACATTATTAAATTTTACATAATTATTTTAAAGAACAAAAGGTTGGTCTGGTGATTTGTCTCCCAGAAAAAGGAAGGCTAAATCTCAGGCACATGTAGTATGTATATATATATATATATATATATTTGTTTGATAATGATATTTGAATTAGATATAGAGAAATATTTTATTTAGATTTAAAAATATATTAACAATAAATATTTGTTTATTAAAAATAGTATGATAGATTTATTCCAAATAATACAAATGGCCAGCAATTCCTGCACAGAAATATCAGGACTGGAAAGGACCTGAATAGTCCTGAACAAGAATATCAAAAGGAATTGGCATGTGCATATGGATTGGCAATTGATAAGAATATATTGGAATTTAAGGTTGAACATCATCAACCTAATAACCATTATCAAAAAATTGATCAATTAAACCAAATTTACAATTGTCAACCAGAGTCATCATGTATCAAAAAACGCATAATACCAACAAGCCCTGAATATACACTTGATGTACTAGGAGTGATTGATGACTATTACTTAAATATATTGGATTGGAGTAACCAAAATATAGTGGCAGTTGGAATAGATAAAAGAGTTTATTTGTGGGATATAATAACTGATGAGTTGTCAGCAATTACTATAATTAGAAGTGGTACTAATACTATTTCAAGTCTTTCATGGTCTGAAGATGGTGATCATCTTGCTGTGGGATTGAAGGATGGCAATATTGAAATATGGAATATTTGGAGTGTTCAAAAGATTAGATCAATGAGTGGTCATATTACTCATGTAGGTGTTATGACATGGAATAAACATATTATTGCTTCAGGATGTAGGGATGGTAGTATCTGGAAACATGATATTAGACTTGCACAACATAAATTTGCAGAAATGCACAATCATAATAGAGAAGTTTGTGGTTTGAAATGGAGAAGTGATGGTGAACAATTGGCTAGTGGAGGTGATGACTGTAAAGTTAATATTTGGGATGCAAAATCAAGCATTCCAAAGTTTACTAAAACTGACCATAAAGCTGCTGTCAAGGTAAATATATATATTAATAACTTGATTTTATATACATACATGTACATTCATAATATATATACACTATAATATAAATAAAGGCAATTGCATGGAGCCCTTGGCAAAGAAATTTG